TGAGGTCACAAACATACACAGAAGATTTTTATGGCAGACTTAATTTATATAACAGACTATAGCCTCCAGAATTTAACAAGTGCATCTTGGGTGAGACTCATTAGCTTGACAGAATATACAGACATTTCAATCTATTCCTGACAGAAGGGTAAGTACCTCCATTCCGCCTTATTCTGCATTCAGAGCCCATGTCTTGGAAAGCCCCTTTTACTTGAGCTAAAATCATCTCAAGCCATTAACAAATGAAACTCAACAAAAAATTAAGTGGCTCTCAAATTTTATCTCCTATAAAAACTCTCATTAAGTACCTTTTTCAAAGACATCACAAGACATAAGGTGCCAAAATTGTTAGATTTCTGAGACTTCATACTCTCCTTGTATATTTATAGATTCATAAATCATGATGCAGCAGATACTGTATTCAACATCTTACACTATAGATAAACTTTTAAGTAAATTTTCAGTACTAGAAGTGGAATCTTACTTCTCACAATTTGCAAAATTGTACAGAGCAGGTAGATAAACCCCAAGAATCATGTCCAAGTCATGATCCCTCATTCCAGTTTGTCTCAGAGATAATCTCGGAGATCTATGGTCCATGATGAGTAAAGACGAGATTTTCTGAGTCACCTGATTGTCTATTACCCTTAACCCCTACGGAATTCATTACAAATCTGCCTGCCAGACTGACAGATTTGCCATATCTCATTGTTTTTTGAAATATCATAAGTACCTTAAGCATGCTATTTGGAGAGCCTTTAAAACAGAACTTCATTTTATTAATAAAGGCAATATTATCATTTAGGTTTTAACAGCTTCAGCATCATGTAAAGACGATCTTTCAGTTAGTTGGGTATTTCAATCTTGGCTTTTTTTTTATTTCAGACCTTTTTGTTTAGTGGAATGCAATTCACAACTAGGAAAAAAAAAAATAAAAACGAGATTTACCCACCACTTGCAGCCTTCAAATGAAGATGTTTTTCCTGAAATATATGTTCCAATTCAGCTACAAGCTATCATCATCTTCTGAAAGCTAAGGTTTTGTTTACATACAAAAAATACCAGAGATACAATGTAAGAAAAAAAAGTAGACCTAAGATTCAAGGTAAAGCAAGTTATTAGTCTTTAATTTCCCAGATCTGCTTTCAATTCTACCACTGAAGAGACTGTTAAATTTTCCTTTACTCAATGCTTATTCCCTCACATCCCAGGAAAGAGCCCCTTCCTTTACCATTGCAGAAGATGAGGTGGGGCCACTACTTGGGGCTTCCGGGCATTGGTGAAATGTTGTATTCCTTACAGCCATCATATTGTTGCTATGCATCCATTGACAGGCAGTAAGTAATCGTATTGCAGCTGTATATGCTGTTATCATAGCATTATTTCTTCTTCAGTCTTAGTAAACAGTTTTCATCTCAACCCACTTGTTCTGTTTTGTTTCCAGTACTCTTTCTTGTCTCAGTAGAGAGAGTGGAAGTGAACAAATGGCTGCATGGTGCTCAGTTGCTTGCTGGATTAAACTACAACAGCAACTTTCATCTTCTGCATGGAAATTAAATTAGTTTAGCTAATGCAAAACAGGTCAGTTTCTCTCAAATGGTTTAAGATGTAAAAATGATTTCTTCTTTGTCCTAACGATCAATTTTCAGGCATAACGTGTTCCTTTCCACTTATGGAAATTACCATCATAATGAATAGGGTGTGGGTAGACCAAACCCATGGTATCATTTCATTGATTGCTGGTATGCTTAGTGAACATGTAAACAACTGAAGGAGCTTGTGTCATAGGATTGTATAATTAGGCAAGAACACCAGGTGGGCTGTGGGCCTTTAATAAGCAGAGCTGAGAGCCAGGATAGACAATGTAAATAGCCCTAGGAAAATGAAATGAAGCCTAGTAGGTGTTCAGGGCACTGGAATATAGTCTTATGTTGTATTTTAAAGAATGCAAAAATAAGAATTAAAGTTGCAAGAATATAAATTTAAATTGCCTGTGCTTAGAGACTTTTCTTGTAATTATTTCAAGCCTAATCACGTGAAGAACTACGCACAGCTTGCCAACACTATCAGTGAATGCTATGTTCTTTCCAAACAGTATAGATAGTACATATTCCTCAGGTTTTTCATCTAAGACCTTCTTTGTATGGAGTTATTTTTTCCAAATCAAAAGTTTCACATAATCTATCTAGAATTTGTTTTCTATGGCCTCGCTCAAACAATCTTTACAGGGATTTGACTTTGTTTCTGCTTTGCAAGGAGGAACTTTGTTTACCTGTGTCTCTCTGTAGTGTTTCCAGTATTCACATCTGTAGGCTGGTTGTATATAGTATCAGCCTGAGTATAAGACATGCCACCTTCACTTCTCTTGTGGTAGACAGTTTGCAGAAACAGACACTCACAGAGGAAACAGTAAACAGGATATGATTAAGATTCTTTGAAAGCACATGGCAATCTCTGAAGTTCACCAAGAAATTTGGAGGCATTCAAAGTCAGGCTGGAACAGGCATTGAACAACTTGATTTAGCTGTAGGCATCCCTGTTCGTTGCAAGGGAGTTGGACTACATGGCTTTTAAGGGTCCCCTCCAACTCAAAGGGTTCTATGAAAGTATAATCTTAGATTTACTTTCCTAACCTATTTTAAAGGCATAGATCTTTACTTAACCTCACTTTTTTTGGCACTGCAAATGGCATATAGGTGACAGACGGGGCAAATTTATCAGATAATTGCAAACAAAATGTTTGCTTGTAGGTATTATTTTTGAGTCCTGGTAAAAATTTAACGTAGTCAGATCTGTTTATGCAATGCAGTCAAGAGAAAGAAATATTTTCAATTTTTATAAAAACCTCCTTGTGTGAAGATCGTGACTAAATACAAAAATAAAAACCCTTATGAAGTTTCTTGATAGCTTTTTATTTTTTCCACATTCTTCATTCTAAGTATGATTCTTGCATAGACTGTTGATTCTATAGGATTAATTAGATCCTCCAATTTCATCTATTCCCTTTCAACATATACATTGTATATATACTGCTGAATTTAGAGGATATACAAAGCTTTATAAAATATGCCAATTTTCAGGTTCTAGGATTTAGAAATATTATATAGGTAGAGGCCTTCTGTGATTAAGTGATCTTAGTATCTGATTTCATAACCAGTCAGACTATTACTAAAATCTTTGTTGCTTTTACTGCTCAAGTGTTTGTTGGTTGGTTGTTTTTTTGTTTTGTTTGTTTTTTGTTTGTTTGTTTGTTTTTGTGGATGCAAATCACAGTTTCTGAGGAGAAAATATTTTTTCATTTATTCTACAAAGCTGTAAAACATACTCTACTGTAAGGTAATTGCCTTCAGTTCAGTATTAACTGAAGCCAAATGTTTGACTACAGACAAAAATTTCTACAAAATATAGTACCCTGTTATTACCTTTCAGAGTTCTCTTAAACTGCACTTTTGCACGTGCTTCAAGTAGATCCTGCCATCTGAATACAATTTCCCTACAGGAGCTTGGGTGAACCGGTGACAATTAGAGATTAGGTATCTTTCTCCACAGGCGTAATGCAATCCTCTCTGTTTTGAATCATTTTCTTTGAGTTACTAAAATTGCATCTTCATGCCAAAAGTCTCTTGGAAGTGGGAAAATAAGAAGTGGACTGAAGTTCCCGCAGACTGTAATAAAAAAGCTGCCATTTACAAACTGAGATGGTAGTATGCAATCTTTTTCCGGTGTAGATAAACTGCAAGATTTTTACTGGAGTACACAGGGAATTCTCATGTTCAGATACAGCTTTCCATGTTCCAGTCTTTGCACGTTTCTCTTTGTCCTGTTGCTTGGCACCACTGAAAAAGCATAGCCCCATCCACTTGACTCCCTATAGATATTTAAAAAGATTAATAGGAATCATCTCAGTCTGTACTCCAGACAAACAGTCTCAGGTCTCTCAGTGTATCCTCTAGGGAGAAAGGGAGTACAAACTCCCATTAGATTTTCATTTACAAACATTTGCAATTTGATTCTAAGTGTTTGAGGTTTAAAATCAATAAAGCTTGAAGTCACTTGACATTTCCAGAAACATATTTTTTAGCTAGGTCAGAGACAAAATTGCCTTTAATCTAAAAATTGAATCATTCGTCATCATAGCTGCACCATTTTGTCAAATTTTTAAGAGTCTGTGTAAGATTTACGTTCATACAAACTTGGTGCATGCAGAATACTTATAATGATACTTCGAAATAAAATCACCTGCATCACTGAACAAGAGCCAGCAACATGTAGGATACAAGGCATTTCAAAAGAGAACTGCTAACTGCTCCCACTTAGGCACTAGCATTGCCAACTACTCACACAGGCTGTCTTTAATCAAACACCTGGATTCTTCCGGAAGCCTCCCTGGTACACAACTTTGTCTTAGCACGTGTAATAAATGACATGTTGAATTTCATTCACAAAAGGCCCTGCACCGAAACACCGCAGTGAACATTGCTTTTCATTCTGCTGCTCACTCTATTCTCCGAGGGATCCTGCTGCTAAATTTCAGGTCTGGTTTACATCTTGGTAGTCATAATCAAAATTATTGCTTTAGTCTGAGAGTTTAAAGCATTTGTTAAACACCGTTAATGATGCATGACTGTATGAAAGCTGAATTCTTCCCATTATATTTCAGGTGGAGATTCTAAAAATCTATTTTGGTAACATTATCAGGGCCAACATATGCACCACAAAATTTTTATGCTTACTGCTAACAGCAACAATTTTAGAGAGTGATCCATCTCCCACTAAGATCCAGAATAAGTCTTTTTTGCTTCAGTGATCCTTGGCAATTCTTATACCTAAATAACAAATATACTTCTTTTTTTGTACTTAAATAGAGTAGAGAGAGCACAAGAAAGAGATGACTTTTTTTTTTTTTTTCTTAAATGTGCCCTAGAAAGGCAAGAGGCTAGTATAAAGGACATGACATGGAAAATTAAGACACAAAGATTAAAAAAAAGTATTTACTTCCTGCTTGGTCTGATAGTCTTTAAACCTTGAGAAACTTTGAGCCTTAAGTCCTTTTTTTTTTTTTCAGTTCTCCTTTCCATGTGAAGCATGGGATAAACTCCCCTGAAGCTGAACATGACCATGTAGGAACCTGTAAGGAAAGCTTCAGCTTTATAACACCAAACACACTTGGAAAAACTAACTTGTAAAAAATTGATTCGTTGTTAGAAACTACAGGTGTAAACAACAAGGCCAAGGATATTTCTCCTCCAAATAAATGATAAAATTAAATGGCAAGTACCTCTTAGTGCATAAATAATTATTTACAGCTTTTCGTGATGGCACCAAGCTGAGTGGGGCAGTTCATACAGAAGAAAGAAGGGATGCTGTCAAGAGGAACCTTATTAAACTCAAAAGATGGGCTGATGTGATCCTAATGAGGTTCAATAAAGTTAAGCGCAGGGTTTCACACTATAGTTGAGGTAATTCCAGATACGTACACAGATTGAGAGAAGAACTCCTTGAGAGTAGCCTGTTGAGAAGGACTTCAGGGTCCTGGAAGATGAAAAATTTAACATGAACCAGTGTTGTGTGCTTGCAGCCAGGAAGGCCAATCATATCATGAGCTGCATCAGAAGAAAAGTGGCCAGCAGTACAAGAGATCCATTTGTCCTTCTCTACTCTGCCCTCATGAGATCCCAACTAGAGTACTGCATTTAGGTCTGGGGCCTCCAGCACAGGAAGGGTGCTGAGCTTTTGGAGACGGTCCAGAGGAGGGCCACAAAGATGATCAGAGGTCTTGAGGACCTCTGCTACAAAGACAGGCTGAACAAACCATGCATGTTCAGGCTGGAGAAGAGAAGGCTGTGGGGAGACCTCACATGTCCTTCCACTATTTAAAGAGAAACTATAACATGAAGGAAATCAACTTTTTATTTGGGTAGACAATGAGATAAAAAGAGGGGATGATTTTAAACTAAAGGAGGGAAGATTTAGACTAGATGTCAGGGGGAAGTTTTTCACTGAGAGGGTGGTGAGATGCTAGGACAGGTTGCATAGAGAGTATGTGGATGCCCTGACCCTGGAGATGTTCAAGGCCAGGATGGATGGGGCCTTGAGCAGCCTGGCCTGATCTAGCTGTTGGCTGCCCTGTCCGTGGTAGGGGGTTGGAAACTAATGATTCTTGAGGTCCCTCCCAACCCAAGCCATTCTATGGTTTTGTTTATGAGTATACAGAGACAATAATAGCTTTGCAGTACACAGTATGGCACAGAATTGAGCAAAAGTCCAAAGATTTTCCTAAAGGCTCATTTCTTATGGAGGAATTAAATTGATGCAATCCTAATTATGCCTAAAATACAGTATTCTCGTTAATATTTGCTGCTCAGTATTCATGTTAAATAGATAGAGGGAATCATTTTCAAATGGTGATGTACTTACACTGTCTTGAAGCAGACACCAAAAGCCTGTAAGCAGATCCATCCACTGTACAAACTGCCACTCCAAAATCTAAAAAAAAGTTACAAAAGCTTGTGAAGATGTTTATTTATTGTGTAATTTGAATCCCTCTCTTCTAGAATCTTGTCACTCAGTACTTGTTCATGGACTACCAAATTTAAACTAATTTCGCCAATGAAGTCAATCAGACAAGAATCACTGCAGTTGATTGTAAACAGATCTTATGATATATGTGTTTGCTACTCAGCTGGTATGGTTTATAAAATGAGTGATATCATGCAAAATAAAACCTGTCTGAATACTTAAAAATTTGTAGGAAATTTCAAACCTGCTTGTGAATCTTTTCAAGCAAACTTGAACCAAGTTTAAGAAAAGCACAGTTGATACTGTGAATGGAAACATAATGCAGCACAACACAGAAATTGATGTGATTTAAGTTGAATCGTGAACATTTTAATTACATTTAATTACTGTCAACATCTGTCAAAACAGTGCTGACTTCAAAAGAAAAATCTTCCCATTCCTATCCCCACTCTAAAAAAAAAATGAGAAAGACAAAAAATACACAAAGGAAGATTTTTGACATCATTTTCACAGTACCTTATTTAGAGCTACTGATACTCTTGTTTTCAAGTTATGGTCTTTGTGTTCATATTGAATTAATGAATAGTGATATCTGTATCTTACAGTTATTTGGTAGAGCATCTGTAAAGGCAGCAGGACCAGATAGTAGTAAAAAGAATGGGTTACAAAAAAGGATGCTCACTTGTAACTGAAGAGGTAAGCTCAAAAGAAGATTCCACAAAGAAGGGATCTCCAACAAGAGATCCTTTCTTAGTGGCAGTCAGCCCTTAAAATGAGGTCTAAAAGAGATGCAGCCTGGCTTCACCCTTTTTGGTTGCACAGGTGAATTGCCTTCACTTGTGCTTCCAGGGTTGACCATGTCTTTTCTCCAGGTTCTCAATTAGTGGTTCAGTCTGTGACTCAGTAGTTCCCATATAGTAGCTTTATACATTACTATCAGAAAGTGCAGAGTTCAAGGTTATCTTCCTGCAAATGAGTTTCCTCCAGAAATTCTTCCCAGTTACCATTCACACATCAGGGAAGGAGAGGTAGAGGTGGAAGTGAAGATTGGTATACTTGTTCCAAATACTGTGTGGTTTGGCAAGATGTTGGCTAAAACTTATTTCTCATGTGTTTTGTGAATGCTTCTCCATCTGGACCTTTACTCCAGTTACTAGCTCTTGCAGATCTCAAAACAAGCTATGACACAATCATCTGATATTGCCTTTAGAGAAAAATTCACAAATGCACTACGCTGCCACCTAAGTGTAATGTTGCTTATATAAATGCTAAGAAGTGCTCTTTATGTTAAAAACATCTCAGGGGTGATTAATGTTTTCTTCCTATCCTTGTAACTACATATACTAATGTTGAAATAAAAGATATAAAGTGAGGGAAAACATAAAGCTTTTCCTATATCTATCATGATGCCAAACATAGGAAAATATTTATTATAATTAGCACACAAATAAAACAATAGATAGAAGAGAAAAAATGTTTTATGCGTTGGCTTTTTGTGTGTGTGTGTTGAGTATAATTTTACCCAAGGCCAGTAACAAGTGCCTCATCTGGAACATTATGGCATTTTGTACAGCCATCTGTTCATTCTATGGCGAAAAAGAGGATCAGCTAGTGGTTCTACACTTGGATGAAACTTTTTGATAACTTAGCATTTCCTAGTTATTTTCGTGGGGAGTTTTGCGGTTTTTTGTGTGCTGGTTTTTTTGTTTTTTTGTTTTTTTGTTTTTTTAACAGAAATTTGTCCAGTGTTATATTTCTAACAAAAGGAATAGAACCATTGCTATGGTTCCTAAGTGCAGACCATATTGTGGAACTGAGTCAGCATGATATAAGTATATATGGAATGAACATTACTGGAATAGGAGGAGTCTGCCTCATAGATAATTCGAAACTCTAAACTGATTCTACACTACTTCTTCATCATCCGTTTAATGATGAATTATGTGTCAGAATTTTTATTAATCGATATAGTAACTGAAATCAAAGAACATGGTAGTGTCCTCAGTCCTGCTTCAGCATGTATCAGAACATAGCTCATGTCCGGTAATAGACATCAATTAATTCAACTGGGTTTAAAACAAGAGCCTAGTTCTGGAGTTCCAGGGGTTTGGGGAATGCCTCTGTTTCTATGAAATATAGTATCATACACTTGTTAACATTAAACAGCAGCTTTGCTCTAAATTGTTACTCTGTTAGATGACATTTTTTGCATCATTACTGGATCCCATTGCCTTCCAGTACAAACACACTTGCTTTGCAAGTACAAATATTTCTTCTAGTTGCTAGGACTGCAAACACAGTGTAGGAACTGAAAATTCAGGCACTTTTAGACATACTGTGGCCAGGGTGATGAAAAGATTTGCTTTATTTCCTTTTTCCAAAGCTTCTTACCTCCTCCCTAAGAGTCCCCTTGTGGCCACTGAACATAAGATCTTACAGTTCTGAAAAGGTTATGGTTATAAAACCTGAGTCAACACTCCTATTAACAAAGAACATATGGCGAGATGAAATATCACTACAGAATAAATATAGAAGGCCATATAAATAACAGAATGTGTTTCCTCTCACAAAAATCCATTCTGCCCTTATTGGACTTTTAGTTGCCAGTATTCTTGCTTTCTTGAATTAGAAAAATCTCATGTCATCCTTCAGGAATGCAGGAGGCTGTCTTCCTTATTTTTCTTCTTCCATAGAGAATCTCATAAACATACTGGTGATTCTTAGATTTTTGTTCTTGGATTTGTTTTTCATTAACTAAAGCATTTATTAAGCATCAACCTGTTGATGTTGCAAGATAAAGTTTGTTCTAAGAGCTAATCTCTGGACTTTTATCGCTAGAATGCTTTTGAAAATTTCTACTTCTACATCTCACTGTCTTTGGTATCAAACAGATGGGAACACTTGACTCCTCTGCAACTTTCTATCTTTGATACTTTGGTTTTTTGGCTTTGTGATTTCAATCAAAATCTCAGTTCTAATCTTCATAATTCAGGATATGTAGACACTCTAAACTAAAATGTCCTGAGTTGAGGAAACAGGTTTCATCTGATTTAAAGCCAACTTTTTAGGGGAAATTGAACCTAGCAGCTTGAGGCATTAGTAAATGTACCAATAGCAAATGACAGTACTCTAAGCAATTAGGAGAGAAAAAGTGTTTTTAGTATCTTTGTCACACTTGCTACTTTATCACTCTTCCTGCATATCTAATCACAATTATGTGTCCTCAAAATCACTTTAGGCTTTTGATATATCTATATAGCTCCTTTTTAACTCTAGAGAAAAAATTAATGAAAAAGATGTTGAAGTGGGAATAATATTGTCTTAACGGTATCTGTTATATAAATTTTAGTATAATTGTTATTACCTCTACACAAAGCTCTAATCAGAAATCTGCTTACAGCACACAAAAAATAGAAACCAGATTCTTCTGGGTGTGATCTACTCTTCTGCCTTTGATGTTTCCCATACTCTTGTCCACACAGATTTTTGTTGTCATTGTGTAAATACAGCCCTTCAAGAAAACAAAACATTTATCTTACTTAGCTGCCTGCAAACTTGTAGTGCTCCTGAATTTCCCTTGGTCATGTGTTTTCTAAAAGACATTTTCATACTATTGTACTATTTAATCTGAGCATTTTCTCCAGTGGGATCAAATGCCCTTCTTTTGTATTTCTGCAAGAATAATATTAGTTTACTGGATTTCTATTCAAATCAAATTCTTAAATGCCCAAGGTTACAGACCCACAAAGAGATAAAGTCTAATATCAATTCAGATAAAAGTATCCTAAAACCATTAGAAAGAGATGGATGAGTATAGAAAGGCTCAAAGGAATAAGAATTTATCACACTATTGCCTTTTTAATATATAGTCTGTCACAGTTACACACTAAATAATAGTTATGAACAGTCATCCTTATTATGTCTCAAACAAAATTTTCAAACATGTACATCATTAAATCAGGAAGATCCAGCAGGACATATTGTGCCACTGGCTTTGGGTACCAGCCCTGTTAGTTTCAAATTCTGCTTCTTGTCTTTGTTTGCTGACACCTGGTTCTAATGAGCTTCACAAATGCATTCAGGAAAGATGTGCCCATTTGGAGCTTAGTAGAAATTACTTTGGTGCAATAAGGGTAATAAAGGAAATAAGTCAGTTTTTCCAAGATGCACTTGACTCCCAAATATTATTGTCCTTCAGGCTTAGAAACTACTTGTAAGAAGTATCTTTTTCGTGGAGTCACTTCTTAAATGAAGTGGACTTTCTATGAAAGGCTTTCCTTTTTTTTGAAGTATCATTCTGATATTTGTGTGATTCACAATGTAAAAGTTTATGTTCTATATTAGTAATCTCAGCATGAAACATTTACTGAAAAAAAGGAATCATTTTCCAAGGTTTTTATTTCAGCAACTTTTGATAAGAACTCATCTTTGTTTTTTTCTTCTTTTTTTTTTTTTTTTTTTTTTTTTTTTTTAATATATAATACCAGCAGTTTCTCCTACATAAAAACAAATAACACATTTTTAAACAGGATAATGTTTGACTTCAAATTTTCAAATATCTCTAGTTTATTTCAGAGGCTAAAAAAAGTCTGAAATTCCTCCACCCCATTTGTTTCTTTCTCTCTTTCTTCTGGTGAATTGTAATTTGTTTCTTCCCAGCATAATGTGAGATATGCTGCTCCTTCCATATATTAAATACCAGCACGTATGATGAGGATGAGCAAACCAGTAAATGTTATTTGCCTCAGGAAGATTTTATCAGATCCATAAAATTTCAAGTAGAGAGATGTGGTAACAGAAATATTTGCAACTCAGGCTTACAGCAAAGAAAATCTAGCTCCCAAACTGTAAAATTAAAATAAACATTTTCCATTTTGGATCTGGCATCAGAAAAGGAAAGATGCAGTCCCTGCTTGGAGATTGTCTTTCTTGATTATGATACATCTTTTAAAAATG